CTCTGTTGTTTATGTCTCTGTGTTTCATGCTTATCGGTGTCTTCCAGTTTTTTTTTTTTGGCTTTACTACAAGTTTGCTTGCTGGACATTTTATTTATATATATATATATATATATATATATATATAATTGTCAGTTATCCCCTCCACTTTTTCTTAATTTTTCTTTGTGTAGCTTGTATTAAGAGGAAATGTGAGCCAAAGTTCTTGTCACATTCAGTGAACTGTAATGAATTATACAGCACAGCACAACACAACACAACAAAGACAGCAGACAGTCAGACTGCAGCATATTTCGACCGGAAAGATCTTCACAGATTGCCTTTGTAAAGCAGTCTAAGTGTGCTGGCAGGGCATGTAACACGCTGGTCTGATACACTCCCTCCACAGGAAACCGTTCCATTCTTTTGATTTGATCTTTTTAAAAAGAAGAAAAATAAACACGATTTCTTGGTCTGACTTTGAATATATGTGATTCAAACTTCTGACAAGGAAAGGAAACTTTTCTGTGCCAAACTCTTTGACTCTCGCATGAAATATACTTCATAATGATGATATCACATTTAAGAGATTTTTCATCCGAACATTTATTCACTCTCATGTAGTTCCAAATGTGTATGACTTTGTCTTCCATGGAACACACATGAAGCTATTAACTGTAATGTCCAAGCTGCTCATTTACAATGAAAGTGACATTTACAAAAAGAACATTTAATATCCATGGAAACTTTACACTGCACAAAAAGGCTCTTTACAGTGGAAAAAAGTTATTTAGATTATTAAAATGTTCTTCACATTAAGAAAAAATCTAAATATTATTTTAAGAACTGTTTACTGAAAGGTTCTTTAGGGAACCCAAAAAATGGTTCTTGTATGGCATCACTGCAAACCCCCCCTTATGGAATCCCTCTTTATTTTAAGAGTGTGGAAAATTTCAGCTTGAACTTTCAAGTTCCTATGTGTTCCGTGGAATAAAGAACGTCGAAGAAACGCAAGGTCTGACCATGGGCTGAAGGTTTGGCGCCATCTCGGGACTCGGCCGTGAAGCCATTGCTGAAGCGGCCTCATATGAAGCAATCTGAGCGTCGTTACTGCGGCTGCGAATGCCTTATGCCCCAGGAGCCTCTGAAAAAGTGTCAGTGGGGCTGCCGTCCTGCCCTTGATCGAGTTCAGGCAGTTCAGCACCGACTGAGCACATTCCTGCGTGAGGCGTGCTGTCAGGTTGACTGAGTCCAACTCCATACCGAGAAAAGAGATCCTCTGCACGAGTTTGCTCTTTTGCCAGTTGACCCTAACCCCCAGATGGATTGAATGTGTGATGCAAGCACGCTTCCATTCATATCCGCTTTGCAGGGCGGGGTTAGCAATGCAAATCTCGCACGCTAATGTCCATTGGCTTGTTTAGTTTACACTCAGGCGAGATCCCAATTCGTCAGTTCAGTTCTGACTTAACGTCAAACGTAACTGACTGAAAGGGAAAGTCATATGGGTGTACATTAAATAATAAATAGTTTTTATATTTCAGTGAACTATTCCTTTAATATGTAAGGTATGGATTCATAACAGACAAATTGAAGATATTTATTTTTGGTTATGTTTATGAACATGTTCCACAAATATGTGTGTATATTATTTAACATTTTTGTTATGTGGGACTACCCTCTGTCCTCTACCGTATCACAAATGCATGCATGAATTATCGTGCTTGTTAAAATAGCAAAATCATAAACCATAACCTCATAACAAAGGGTCTAATTAAATATATAAACAACTTTCTGCAATTGCGTTAATCAGTTTGAAAACGAACACAAATCTGAAAGTGACTTTATGTGAGTAAGTCATTTTTGTTTTGTTTTCCATGCATGGTCACCACCGCTCCTTTATGATACAAGGACAAGGGCAACGAGGCAGTAAAACCATTAATGAATCTGCTGTCCCTCTCCAACTTGTGATTAATGCTGTTTTTTAGTTTTATAGGATTCTTCTTTGAGTAGACGTTCTTGAACATCAAGATCAGTGGTCAGGATTTACAGCTCATTATCAAATACTTATATTGATATTCAGTAAGAAGACAATTTAAGATAGGTCTTGGTCTTGTTGGATTGGATTGGATTGTTTAAAAAAAAAAAGTGCATTTCATACCAGAATGTAGTCAGACAAATTTTTCTGGCTTTTGGTAATTTGGCTTTTGGTTAACATTAACAAATAGCCCATGCAAAAAAATAAAAAATAAAATAATTTCAGAGGCAGAGCAAACCATTACATTTTATGAAAGATTACGGAGACATTTTCTTTCTTTGGAATAATATGCACTGATGAATCAAGGACAATAAAAATAGGGACTTGTTAAGAAGGTAAATAGAGTCGTGTTGACTTTAAATGGCAACAGGGCCAAGTTTGGGCTTTAATAATAGCTACTAGAAACAGCAAAGCATACAAGCCATCATAAACTTAAAAAGCAAGAGCTACAGGAAGGAAAATAAAGAGATAAAAAAATGAAGAGAAAAAGCATACGACTGTTTTCTCTACAGCAAAGCCCCAAGCGAGAGACGATGTGGGAGAATCTTTTAATCTCAGTGAGAACTTAAAAAAAAAAAAAAAAATGTAAATGCGAAAGAAAAGACAAGCAAAAACAACCAACTGTTAAAGTGTCACCACAGCATCAATGCATCTCTCCTCAAAGGAGCCCGATCCCATCACAGGCCTCGTCCTCTATCTGTAAATCGCATTGCTGCTAATGACAGAGGGAGAGTCAGTCCCATCAGGGAGAGCGGGGAATGGTCCTATTAAGGAGGAAAAGTACTGTCTAAACCTAGAAGTTTCAGAGGGGCAGTTGTGAAAATGTAGGTGGAAGATGTCTCCCCTTCCACTGACAGAATGAGAAAGCAGGAGAGAGATAGAACAGATAGAGAGTGGGAGGCTAGGAGAAAGAGTAGATGGCAGGGCACAGACGCATTGATTGGCTCCAGCTCGCCCGTGGGCTCTGTCGATTGTGCCCCCTCTTAAAAGGTTGCAGTGTTATTAAAAGGTTTCCTTTATCTGTCCGTCACCCTTCTGCTCTAATGATGGTGAGCAGGAGAGGAGGAGCGGAGAGAGATGGGTCTGTCAGAGTCACTTCCTTCCTGTCTCTTTGCTGCCTGCGGTAATTCCCTCCACAGCTGTGCAAACATCCTACTGATGTTACATGTGCCATTAATAGATGATTATTTGGGATAATGACTTATGATTCTAATTGTATTTGTGGTGTTTTAGACCTTTATTATGAAGTATGCACTGCTGGAATAAAAAATGTAAGGAAGGATTTTTGGCATATTGCTGGTTTGGCTGGTTTTCTAGCGTTTGTTGATGTCTGTTGGGGCAGTGTGAACATGATAGTTATTTTTCATAAAAAAATGTTGTTTGTTGTTGACAAACAAAAAAACTAGTTTGTTGGCATTTGTCTGTGGGGTGTGAATTGGCTTTTAAAAGCAGCTAAACAGACCTACCTACCTAACTAACTAGAATGACCAGGCTGGGAGAGCAGCTAGAACATCTGAAGACCAGATTCCCGAGCCTATTAGTTTAGTCTGTTTTTTTTTTTTTGTAGGTGGTGTCCCAGGGTTACCAACTGACAAGTTTCCAAAACCCATTTAAAAATAGCTAAAAACATACTAACTTTACCAGCTTGACCAGGCAGGGAAGCTGATCTTCAGATGGTCTAGCAGGTTTCCAAGAGACCAGTGGCTGACCAGCAGAGAAATGGCCAAACCCCCTCTAAAGACCTGACCTGCCTAACCTCTTTAGGCTGGTTTAAGCAGTATTTTTCCCACAAGTTCAATCCAGGGAACATTATGAAGTATTAACAACTTTTTCTATCATCTTCTCTCTCTTTCTGTCTGTTTGTCCTCACCCCCTCACCTTATACTTTCAAACAAACTCTAAACAAACACCAGCCTTCTGACTAGTTATCAGTATGCTCTGAAATGTTTATAAAATGAAATGATGTGCCAAATGAATATGCTCACCGGGGGGAAAAACATCCAGAGGTAAATACTCATAATCAGAAACAGGTGTCTCGCAGCAAGCAGGTGTTTGTGTTCGTTAGAGAGAGTTCGAGCAGTACAGAGACTTTTATCCTGTGTTCTGTCACAGGGTGCCAGACTCAACTCTACTATCCAGCTGTGCTCGTTGACCCTTGGCCACTCAAATCGTGTCCGATCAACACAGAGCACTTGCAAGCTAGAAACAGTTTGGTAGGTCACCTTTTGAGAACAGAACTTTCATCCTTGGGTTCGACTTTTTTGAATTGTGAACTCGTTCTCAAATAAGTCATTAGAGGACAACGTAGAGCACTGATCCAGTCAATGACCTGAATACTGCTCCACTGAGTCCAAACATAGCCATCGACCCACTCCTGCAAAGCGTGCCAAATCACCGACACAGAACTATGGTCGGTATTGGCAAAGTCAATGGGATTCACCAGCTCTGACCATTAATGTAGTCAATGAGCCAGTCTTCCACTAAATACAGATTCTGCTTCAAGAAGGCTGTTCCAAAACACGGGACATGGGAAAGACAGAGGCCAGGGGATGGGCATCCGAATGCAGGGCGCCAATCTGGGATTTCACACATGAAGGATTCCACACCTGGTCTGTAGAGGACTCTTAGACTATTGAGCTTGCTACATTGAGTTTTGTCCCGAGTTAACTCACAGATGCAGCTCTGACCTCAACTTGACACTGTAACAAAAAATGAGCAACCCGAGGGGTCTGCCTGTCATTTCCCATTCAAAGACTCATGTATCCTACCCCAACTGATTCAGCTTTCATCCTTTCATGCGAGTGCAGAGGATTTTGCACGCAAGTGCCGTGGTCAAACTGTGTGGGCTCAAATGTAGCTTAGAAGAACCTATTTATGTGGTTCTTAATTTTGTTCTTTTCATCCAAATATTGTTGATGTTGTAGAAAATAATAACCGAATAGAACTTTTTGTCCCTTTTTGTTTGCTTAATTTTTTATCAAAGGTCCTGAAGGAAGTTTGGGATGAGGACTGGGATTTGGGGAACATTGTCTACACTCTGACCAATAGAAGGAGAGGGGAGGCATCTGTCACTTATGCTGAGAGCCATGACCAGGTTAGTAATTTGTACATTTTATAAAAGATTTAGCAGAACCTTCCTTTCTCAACCAGCTGCACCAGACAGACAATGATTATCAACAGTTTTGCTGGTCACCATTCAAAAACACTTTGGTGTAACTACGGTGTTTTCTTAACATTATACAATGTTGCACATGCTCACATCTCTATTCTTGTTGTTAGGCGTTGGTTGGGGACAAGTCTCTGGCGTTTTGGCTGATGGACAAAGAGATGTACACCAACATGAGTGCTCTTATTACCATGACGCCCGTTATAGACCGTGGCATCCAGCTGCATAAACTCATCCGTCTCCTCACTCACAGTCTTGGAGGGGAGGGCTACCTCAACTTTATCGGTGAGTCTCCTTGGAAACCAGTTTTGCTAGATACTTGATGCTTTGCTGTAATATGCCTCCACCGAGGAAGAGGAAGTGGGTTTGTTGCCGTTCTTGGCAGGCGTAAACAAGTTTTGTAGTAGTTAGGCATATTGAGTTAGTCTAAGGGTTTGTGCTGATCATATATTTTTTAATCTTACTCATAAGAATTTTACGGAATGGATTTCAAATGCTTAGTTCCAAATATTGGTGTCGTTGCAATTGGCATTTCAAATAAAAAAATGATATTTATACATTTCTGTGATTATCACTTTATTAAATAAGATACTATCTCATACTCTTGTCCACCAGAATGTGTTACGTTCTAAAGCCAGAGCCAGTTCTTGGCCAGGCGAACTGGAGCCTGGCGAGAAATGTCTGCGTGTTTCCACAGACTTGAGAAATGAACAGTGACATACTGTAATGCGTCTATGTTGTTTACCTGACTATAACCAGTGTAAAAACAAACATTGCATGTCTCAGTGTTTGTTTAGGTATGCGGCACTGGCATGTTGTGCTTTTCACAGTACCAGGAGTGATTTTAATATTTAGACATACAGACTCTACAGAGGAATGTTGCACAATATTATTACATTTCTCAACAAGACCACCATAGACAGACCATGTCGGTGGTGCTATCAGACTAGTGGCCTAAAAGAACGCAAAGTAAGTTTGTACACGTATCACAACACAGGAAAAGAAACTACGCTCAGTTGTGCCGGGCCTGAGGCTGTAAAGGATTGCTGTCTAGATGAGTAAAGATGTCTTTCATTACAAGCGCGCTCCTCTTCTATCAAACACATAAAAGCATTTCACTTTGTCTGCTCATCCATGTCTGTGCAACAGTACTAAAAACAGTAATATGTCCAAAGGTCACCATCTTTGAATCTCTCCATCTGCAAATAGTAGGTAAAGGCACTTCGGTATAATTGCACACAAAGGCGAGTGGTAGAGCACATTCAAAGAGAAAAAAAGGAAAAAATGCCTGACACTTGAAACAGTCAAGGCCAGACGCAAACAGCATTGCCATCAGATCGATGGCGAGGCAGTCGTTTAGCCCGTGTTGAGCGAGAACAAATTGTTCAAGCAAAAGAATCAATCCGACATGTCAAGCCTAAAGCTCCTCATCCTCGAAAATTCCTCTTAACTCAAAGTGAGAGAAAGGCCAGAACTAGAAAAAAAAATTATTTTGTGAACATGGAAGAGGACATGCCTGCATTTTAAGTGGAAATTGTGTCCATAACATCAAAACTTGCTCTTTTTGGAAGGCCTAGATTTTGTGTGCTCATCGTTATATATGCTGTGCTCACTGTGGATATACATGACGTTACATAAACTAAACCGCTTAACTATGTTTGACATTTTTTCCATCATGATGCAATGAAAGAAAATCTATAAACCCTCTAGTAAACAACCCCTGTAAGACATTAACATTTAAAAAAAAAAAAACTCAGAGTTAGAAATTGGTGTGACTCACACTTTTCTTTAATAAATCATGTTTAAATGCTTTTTATAATTTGCCCCAATAAAATGTGACTCCCAAACTGATTTCCCTTAGTTCTAGTGAGTAGACGTAAAGCAGATCATTGTATTTTCTTTTTAGTAACTGAATTATGAACTAGTGTAAACTGCGCAAAGAAGCACTTGGTGGAACAGAGCGAGTTTGTCCTGGCTGTGCAGGTGTAAGACTAGACTGCTCTCCTTCTCAAATCAATGCTCAGTTTTGCTCAAATCCATCCACACAAACACATTGATCTCTCTCCCCACTAACGCTGTTAATTAGCATGCTGCGGCTACATCATCTCCTGCACCAGCCGACACGCTAGCACGGCTCTGTAAATATTCCAGCCTGCTTCTGAGGTCGCTGTTTGAATCGTGAAAGCTGCTTCAGGCGTGGCAGATTAACATCCATTGGTTCATGGAGATGGTTGTGGTGCACGTCCATTCCTCTCTGCCCTCTTTCTCTCCGGATCATTGTGCTATTGGACATTGATGTTAGCAGTGTTCCTCCTCTGATTAGTAGTTCTCTCTCACTGACTTTGGCTCCTCTCCTAGGAACTAGATAACTGATCAGAAATCGTTATGCCTGTCTGCCTCTGCTGTTTGTTATAATAACCATCATTGCAGGTTGCTGTTATTTAGGCTGTGCATGTGCATACATGATCTTAATTGGGATTTTGGAGGCGGGAGGATCATTACGATCTGGTGGTGATCGTGGTGCCCTGATAAAGTATGTTTTCAGAAGTACAATAACACTACAATATTTTCTCTCTTAAACAGCTCATTTCTTTTTCCCAACATGCCAGCAGAGCAAATAATCCACCAATTTAAACCCGCTATCTGCGCACATCCAAGGATTCGGGGTTAGCGTGGGAGAAATAAGAAGGGGAAAAAAAGAAAGTTTCAAGTTAAAAGGAGGTTAAATAAAAACAAGAACGAATCATCCTGTCACTGGTGTATGTGGAAGTAGAAGCAGAAAAACACCAGTCCTGATTAATAGAAATTTCAGCAGGAGATCAGAGAAGCATTAGCCTGACAGCGCGGAGGCTGCCAGACAAGGCCTGAGAAGCACACAGGAAGGCAATATGCCTGAAGAGGCTTTAATTGAATTTGTAAGGGGTGCCATTTTCTTCGCGCAGTGAAAGAGTTTCATTTGTGGGCGGGAAGCGTGGGCCTGTATGTATTTATTTATTTATTTATTTATTTATTTACTCACTGTTTCAAGTACCTCTTCAGTCTTTTCCAATGGAACAGGGTAGTTTGAGAACTCAGAAACAGGGAACAAAACATGCTTTTCCCCTCTTCTGTTTGTTTCGGATATCTCTTGTTAATTTGACTGCTCTTGCAGTTGTCCTTTTGTTTTACAAACATCAATTTCTGTTCCTGCTGGTTCGCTAGCAAGAACTTTTGTAGTTAGAACATAGAGTTTGATTTGATAAAAGACCTTGTGGGAAACCCAATTTAGGTGCTCTTATTTCTGTGTATCATTGAAGTAAATGTGACTAAACTTGAAAACAATTTGCATTACTCATGATGAACTTGAAGCTCAACCTGAAGTGGACATTAACTATTGACCAGAAAGTGTCCAAACACACATGTTTTTGTGAAATATTTGGCTTTAAAAGTGTGCTTTGCAGTCGTTCCTTAAAATAAATGCCACTTTATGTGATATTTTGTTATTTACTGCAATGCTATATGTGCATTTTAAGGGTGGCTTAAGTGTCCAAATACATTTTATGGCCAGTGTACGTGTGTTATTTGATTCGTGTTGAAGTAAGTTTGCTCCTACTGGAATAGAGAAGTTCCTCCTATTAGACAGACTCCTATTCCCCCTAATTAAGACAGGAAGAGGCAGACGGCAAGCAAATTGCACACTAAACAAAAGCAGCCAGACACACAGACTGTATATTTAAAAGCACCCAGCTAAAGTTGGCTCCAGGTTATTAAGACAGAAGTTTGGAGTGTTATGTTGGCAGAGGTCTTACCCAGCATTCTTTCACGAGGTCGTAGCCTTTGAATGTCCCTCTTGTGACTATCACAAACATAATGCAAAAAGTAACTTTTTGTATGTATAAGCATATTTTTTTGTATAAAGGTATCAAATTAGCCAAGGCAAATGCTATTTCTGTCAGGACCACTATCGTCGAATACGATTGACAATTAGCATACAGTTTGGATTGGCGGTATGGTTCCGTTTTGGGCGAGAACTCCCTGCGCATCCATGCAGCCTAGCATGGATAAGAGCAGGGAGAGCAGCAATAAACCCCCCTTAGGGTAAACACAACAGAACCAACATGATTGTATTGCAGATATCATTAAATCAAGGTTTTAAAGTACAACATAATTCGAGAATTTATTCTTATTCAAGGGGAATCAGAATGCCAAATGCCAGGGGCTGGGGATGGAGGAGGGTAATTAGGTCCTGAGAAACGCCATAGCTGCTGATAATACTGAAGGAGTATATATGTATACAGTGATAGGCGTTGTATTCCTATAGGTAGACGTGGATCGCGAGCTTGACTAACGTGACCTGCCAGAACTGACGCTACACTTGATTATTATTGCTTATACGGATGTAAGTGAGTGTGCTATGACATTTCTAAGTGACTGGACTTAAGATGGTTACCTGGTGGATGATAAAATTGCCATAAAAACCAGAGAAGGGACCCTGGCTGAACTCTTTTGAAGTATCAAGTGACACAAACTAAACTGCTTAACTATTTTTGACATTTTTTTTCCGTGATGATGCAATGAAAGAACCTGTATTCACTTCTCACTTGTAAACAACCCCTGTAAGACATTGGGGGGGGGGGGAGGGGGGGATAAATAAAATTTAAGTGCTTTTTATATTCAACTGAATTTGGTTTCCAGATACACTTGACTGATCATAGTATCCTACAGAGCCAATTAGATGTGTGAAGGAAGTTAGAAGCGTACAATTAATTACCTGTTGTTTAGAGAGGTAATTCAAACATAACAGGTAGCTTTGAATTAGGTTAATTATAGCTGGCTGAAAATGCCATTTCTCGTGAAGTCACACTTCATTTATCACATACAGTACATCTAATATTCCTCTACTTACATGGATTGAAAAATGCCTGTCATTCTCCGAACACACATTTGTACTGTTTGAGCTCTACATGTCCATATGTTTGTTTGTTTGTTTTTTTCTCAGACCATAATCCAGATTGAGTCTCATCTTTTAGTCCTGGCTCTGCTGGCGCCGCATACAAGTCACATTATCTTTAACAGTGAAGGCAAGAGCTTCTCTCTTTGACTTCAAATTGACACTGAACTCAAAGACCATCTAATCTCCACCTTGCAGCTTGTTACACATGAAAGAGATGGAGAGCTAAAAAGAAGTCCATTTCTTATTTATGGGTTCATTTGGAGGGCTTTTCATGCAAACTATTTAAATCCCATTGCAGCTCACCAGGATCTTTGGCCTCACGCTATAGTAACCAAAGAGAAACTTGACTTCAAACATCACTACACGTCAGATCAGATTATTGGCTTAGTGGAATCTTAAAAGGGAAGTGTGTGTGTGCGTACACGCTTTTTGTGTGGTTATTTAAGGCCAGGCTGCCTAATCAAAAATTTAAATGGTATGCTTACTTTAATTGACAAATCTGACTCCGTCCTATTCAGAAGGTCTCAGTGGGGAATCCGCATGGTCATGGCCTGATGTTTTTGATCTTGCTGTTTTGTTGTCTTAATGCACTCTTGTGACTCTTATAAAAGGAATGCAAAATGTGACGACTTGTATGTATCAGCATTTTGTAAAGTGGTAAAATTAGCATATTTAGTGGTGCTTGCTAAGGCACTTTTTGGACTTTTTGCACCATTTGAGCTATTGACATGAATGATACCTGGAATTGTGTGAATTTTTAAGGAGAAGTATGTTGTTTCTTTTCTCAGTGGTCGATTCGTATCGATTTTCCACTAAACAGCCAAAAAAGTCCATAGACTTGCTCTGCAGAGACATAAGACATGTTCAAAAGTTTGAGGCCAGTAAGATTTTTTTTAAAGAAATGAATTTTCTTAATCAGCAAGGATGCATTAAATTGATCAAAAGTAGCTGTAAAAATGTTTACATTGTTAACAAAAAAAATCTATCGTATCTATCATAAAAATCTATAAATTCTGTACATTTGTTTTTATTTCAAATACATTCTTTTGAAGATTTTTTAAGGAACCTTAAAAAAACACTTTCCACAAAAATATTAAGCCGTTTTTTTTAACATTGATAATGTCAAATTGATAATAAGAACTGTTTCTTGAGCACCGATTCAGCTTTGCCATCATATGAATGAATTACATTTTAAAATATATTCAAATAGATAACGGTTATTTAAATTTACTGTATTTTAGATCAAATAAATGCAGACTTTTTTTAACATTGCATTGTCAAACCAACATTAAATATTTGTCTTGACAGTCTTTGCTTTTTAGTTAAACATGAGTTATATAAATGTCCTCAAATTTTCTTTGAATTCTTACAATGTTGAATTGCAATTCTGCATCCTGATTTTTGCCTCAATTGAAATTTGAAAGGAATTCTCAGTTCAATACTTAAAACTACTTGACAGCCGCCTAGCAATACACTTAGCAAAACTACTCAGAAGAACACCTTAGCAACCACATACTGTATCTATATCCTGGCTGTTGCATGGGCATTTTCTTCAGAAAATGTAAAATTCTACTTGTGCTTCTGTAACTTTTTCAATCTCTGGATTGTAGCATTTGCTGCTGGCTGTAAGAATTTTTTTTTAGCTTTTAACCTGCACCTCGACAGCAGCAGTCCTTCTGGCCTTGAAGAAATCCATCTCCCTTGTATGTTGCCATGTTATTGCTCCCATATTGATCTAACCTTCGAAAGATACGGTCTGACACCTTTTACCTGTCAGTCAACCAGTGGCTTGAAGTGAGCTTCATATATCTCTCAGAAAAACTCATGCATACTACTGCAGAATTTTGCACAACACAGGCAGTGAATCTATAGAAACTTCACACATGGCCACCATAATTTACTCAGGCTAAACTTTCACTCGGGGTATCCATTCCACCGACAAACATCGGATCTGTTCACTTAATGCCCTTTTCAAAGCTTTCCCATAACTTCCAGGGGTACAGTGAGCAGTGAATAATTTAAGATTATCTTAATATATGTGCAGGGGGAGAACAGCGGACGTCCCTTATCGTTGTGTCTGTATTCAGTGCATGGGGCGGCACGATAAGGCGCATGACGGAGGTGACAGGGGCCGTAAGAGAGACAAAGTGTCTCGTCATCTTCACTTTCTTCGTTTAATTATGGAGTCTGAGCTGTCACGGTTCTTTGTGCGAGCGTTTGCCACTTTCTGCACTGCTAGCCTATGATCTGTCTCTCTCCAGTTGACACATGACATGACTCTATCAGAATTATTTGCCGCAGAAGGTCCCCGTGCACGTTAAGTAAAGTTCAAGTGGAAGCTGAGGGATTTGATCGCTCTGATATTCTCTCTCTCTCTTTCTTTCCTCTCCCCTTTTTATTTCTTCTTCCTGCCATGCATCCTTTAATGTCTCAATGTCCTTTTTTTTGCAGCTTTTATTTTTGTTATTGATATTCTTTTTTCTTTTTCTTTTTTACATAATATAGGCCTGCTGGGGCCGGTTGCATAAACCTCTAAAACTAGTCTTACAAGTTGACATAAAATATATATATATATTTAAGATTGTTCATAGCTTTTTTTAAATCAGTTTCATAAAAACTTAGATAGACTTAAGACTGACTGCCCCTGACTAACTCCTAGTGGGTACTAGAACTTAAGACACTGTCTTAACAATGGCTCTGTTTATTTAACTGGCCCCTGGTTTCACAGACCAGGCTTAGATTAAGCCAGGATTAGGCCTTAGTTTAATTTTTATAAACATACCTTAGAAAAAAAAACATTACTGGTGTGCATCTTGAAACAAAACAATGGCACTGACATATTTTAAGATATTTCAGTGCAAGTTGCTTTCAGTTAAAACAGTTCAAACATGCATTTTAGTCTGGGACTAGTCTTAAGCTTTGTCTGTGAAACTGGGGGATAAAGTATTATTCTATAGTTAGTTTTGGATAAAAAAAATACAGTGGGGAGAACAAGTATTTGATACACTGCCGATTTTGCAGGTTTTCCCACTTACAAAGCATGTAGAAGTCTGTCATTTTTTGAGTTGATAGAGAATCATTTTGTTGTGAATTGTACACTAATTCCGAACCGTACCGTACCACTTTTTTGGGACCCTTCCGTTGGGGTACCTAGCACAGTAGTCCGGTGCTAAAGGGTGGAGCTAGACTCACTGCAGAACGTTGATTGGTTGACAGAGAATCGTCACTTGCGCGTGCTACAAGGGGAATGACAACACCATTGCCATTGAGGCGCCATTTTTTAATACAGTTGAAACACAAAACCGTTTCTTCTTGTGACAAACAGCCACATGCCGAGAAGCAAGAACAAGATCTGCTGGATGTCCTCCATTGTTGTTTACCGTGAGGCTTTCTTCTTATTCGTGTGAGCATTACATCAATCGCTACTTTCCGACATACACCAGTAAGGGTACTGTTGGCAGTGGAAACGCAAGCCGGATCAGGGTTTACAGTCCCGAGTCGTACTGAACTGTACCGTCCTGTACCACTCGGTGAAAACGAGGCATATGAGGAACATAAATACACATGGTAATGAATTCAATAATGAACTGCCTGTGATATAAGAATATCCATGGTATCTGATAAGTGGCTGGAAACTATAAAAAGTAAACAAGAAACTGGAGACAAACTAACTAAAAGTTCATGAAAATCAAACTAAACAGAGAATAACTGTGACAGTTATTTGATGTATCAACAACAACAACAAAAAATCCTAGACAAAAAAACAAGGTAAACAATTACATTAGAATTTTCCTTGAAGATCTTCCAAAGGCTGATTTTCTACCTGTTCATGGAGAGGCATTTAAAATTAAATCTTATTTAGTTAAAAACAGTGCAGTGTAAGAATCTCATGTGAAATTGGCCTGTTGAGGATGTAAGATCTAATATTTTTATAACACGCTAAATTACCTTAAAATGCTCTGGGGAATGTTTTCTTGTTTGTGATAAAAGCTTTCACAAACTTTTACAATATTCATTTTTCAAACTTTTCTTTCTCCAGGTAACGAGTTCGGCCATCCGGAATGGCTCGACTTTCCCAGGAAAGGAAACAACGAGAGCTACTATTATGCCCGTCGCCAGTTCAACCTTGTGGACATTGAGCATCTGCGATACCGACAACTGTACGCTTTCGACCGTGACATGAATCTTACAGAAGACAAATACGGCTGGCTGGCTGCCGGTCAGGTGAGATGCACATACACACATTGCTAAAAGTGCATGCCTCACACTGGTTTTAACCTACAGAAGAAACCCAGTGTAAATCTCCTTGCTGGATCTGTCCTTGCCATCTGTTAAACTGTGGGGAGCTATTTATCTGCCAAATTAAATGGGATATGAGATGCATGGCCCATATGATAATGAAATTGCATAATACAGCCAACCAGGCAAGACTCTCAATAGCAGGCTGCCCATTTCACACACACACCCCTTGTACTGAAGACAGTAGAAATAAGATTTCCTCTGTATTAAACAGTATAAAACCCTTTCCTACGCTGGGGTTCACAGTTTGTCAAATACACTCACCGGCCACTTTATTAGGTACACCTGTCCAACTGCTCGTTAACACTTAATTTCTAAGCAGCCAATCACATGGCGGCAACTCAGTGCATGTAGACATGGTCAAGACAATCTCCTGCAGTTCAAACCAAGCATCAGTATGGGGAAGAAAGTTGATTTGAGTGACTTTGAACGTGGCATGATTGTTGGTGCCAGAAGGGCTGGTCTGAGTATTTCAGAAACTGCTAATCTACTGGGATTTTCACGCACAACCATCTCTAGGGTTTACAGAGAATGGTCCGAAAAAGAAAAAACATCCAGTGAGCGGCAGTTCTGTGGGCGGAAATGCCTTGTTGATGCCAGAGGTCAGAGGAGAATGGCCAGACTGGTTCGAGCTGATAGAAGGGCAACAGTGACTGAAATAACCACTCGTTACAACCGAGGTATGCAGCAAAGCATTTGTGAAGCCACAACACGCACAACCTTGAGGCGGATGGGCTACAACAGCAGAAGACTCCACCGGGTACCACTCATCTCCACTACAAATAGGAAAAAGAGGCTACAATTTGCAAGAGCTCACCAAAATTGAACAGTTGAAGACTGGAAAAATGTTGCCTGGTCTGATGAGTCTCGATTTCTGTTGAGACATTCAGATGTTAGAGTCAGAATTTGGCGTAAACAGAATGAGAACATGGAACCATCATGCCTTGTTACCACTGTGCAGGCTGGTGGTGGTGGTGTAATGGTGTGGGGGATGTTTTCCTGGCACACTTTAGGCCCCTTAGTGCCAATTGGGCATCGTTTAAATGCCACGGCCTACCTGAGCATTGTTTCTGACCATGTCCATCCCTTTATGGCCACCATGTACCCATCCTCTGATGGCTACTTCCACCATGTCACAAAGCTCTAATCATTTCAAATTGGTTTCTTGAACATGACAATGAGTTCACTGTACTAAAATGGCCTCCACAGTCACCAGATCTCAACCCAATAGAGCATCTTTGGGATGTGGTGGAACGGGAGATTCGCATCATGGATGTGCAGCCGACAAATCTGCGGCAACTGTGTGATGCCATCATGTCAATATGGACCAAACTCCCTGAGGAATGCTTCCAGCACCTTGTTGAATCTATGCCACGAAGAATTGAGGCAGTTCTGAAGGCAAAAGGGGGTCCAACCCGTTACTAGTATGGGGTACCTAATAAAGTGGCCGGTGAGTGTATATGTATCAATGCAATTAGAGACTCATATTGTCTAAAAAGAGGTGCAGGTTTCCTAGCTTGATCATCAGACAAGTGCCCCAAACTCTTGAAAACCACCAAATCAGAGCAGCAACCCAGGTTTCTGCATGCAGGTTTAGGATAGGTTTTCAGCAGAGTACCTCAGTACTCACATCAACAATTGACGTATTTGTTTAAATGATTTCTCCTAAGGAATTTTAGAAAAAAACATCTGAGAACTCATGATCTAGGACCAACATCGGAGCAATAAAATCTTCTCCTTGTTTTTGCTTCTATCAGGCGGCAGTCACGACTTTGAATCAAGCTGATAAGGTGATCGTATTTGAACGCGCAAACCTGTTGTTTATTTTCAACTTCCATCCCTGCAACAGCTACACTGACTACAGGGTGGCAGTGGAGCATGCTGGGAAGTATCCTTTCACCAGGGAGCTCCAGAAGACTAGCACATCTTAGTAATGGAGTGTGTTTATATGCGTGTGGGAGTGAGATTATATATGTGTATATTTGTGTGCATATGAGTTGTGATACAGGCAGCATGTGGGAGAGAGGTTAGGTCACTTGTTAGAAATGCATTAGCCACATATAGTATACAGTGTTGGGGAAGTTACTTTTAAAAAGTAGTGTTTTCTCGTTACTCGTTACTTCTTAAAAAAGTAATCTGTTACTTTACTTAGTTACCCCCTTTGGAAAGTAACTTTTTATGTTACTCGTTACTTTTACGTTACTTTTATGTTGCTTGACTTTGGGCAGAACCCAATATCTGTTCCTAAATGTGTAGGCCTACATACAATTCTACTATGAACTCTACTTATTGAAAAACTAGAAAAAAAAAACTAGAAAAAAAAGAGAGATTTTGAGAACTGAACACCAAAGAACAATATTAACTATTGAGCGGTGGTGACGTTCATGAAAAATGTCACAAAGAACCGGCAAAAGAAATTATTATGAATATCAAATATAGCAAGGAGACATTTCAATTGTTTATTAATAAACAAGTGTTTTCTTTGTCAGTCAGTGTAGGCTGCAAAGTTAAAGTTGACGATGCTGACTCGCGATTCTTCACAGTAGTGAACGCGCCAGAGAGAAATGCACATTTCATACGGATTACATAAGCAGAGAGTATAGCCTTGTCTGTTTTCTCTCGTTTTGAATAGTTTTGTTTTAAAGTACACATTTCAAGCTTTCTATATATTTCTCAGATCTTTCAGGCAAGTAGCTTGCGCTAAGTTTCGGTTCATTTATGAGACGAGCTCAGTTCACGCGCCGGCACGGAGCTCCTGAGAAGTCCTGATTATATTGCCTGCTATATTTACTGCTTATTTATTAAAGACAATTGGTTGAAGAAACATTGATTAAAATTAAGATACAATTAATACAAAACGAAATTCACTTTAAAGAAAGGCTTTCTACAAAAACAAACTTAATGAAGTGGTCAAAATCATGTCTGCCCACTCCATTTGTCTCCCGATTGCGCATCTTATGCTCTTACTCATGCTTTTCACTTTTCATATAATTAACATTGATGAATTTAAAAAATAAATTATTTTATTTAAACATAAATATGAAACTAAATCGTTTTCTTTAATGACTGGCTCTCCACAGAACATAAAATATTAATTGTATTGAATTTTTCGTGTTCGCATTTACGAGGAAAGAAACAATGTTATGGATGTAACAGTTCTTCGGACTTGACCGCTCTGAAAGCGGCACTAAAAGACTGCTTTAAATCTTTCACAGAGACCTCAAACAGGCATTTAAAACACCAAATATTAAGGATTGGCATATCAAGCAAAATAATATTCGATGATTGCTCGAAAATCGTACCCCCACATGCTTACAGTAAGACGGCGTTCGCTCAAATCCCGCTCCGATATTAAATTTCTCTGTATAGACCTGCGTGTTGTAGCGCAGCCTCTGTCACATACCATGTGGAGCTTGTTGTGACTATTGCAAGCGTGCAGCTGAGGAGACAGTGTTGCTGTCAAATCTGTCCATGGGAAAAGTAACGTTGTGCGGAATTGAAAAAGGAACTACGTTTCGTTACCAAATTTTCAGTAGTAACGCGTTACACTACTTTTTACCCGAAAAAGTAGTTACGTTACTGTAACGCGTTACTTTGTAACGCGTTACACACAACACTGATAGTATATGCATGATGAGACTGAGTGTGTATATTTACAATGTAAGGTGTGTGTGTGTGCGTGCGTGCGTCAACCCTTCATGGCTCTTTAGAGGCCGACCTGCCATTGGTTGTGACACATTCCCATTGATGTTTAAAGACTTGTACACTAGGGAGGAAGGGGGAGGGGAAACCAATCTGACAAGTCTTGAAAACACATTTAATTGGCTGCAGAGATGCTATAGGTGACTTTCATCACACAAAACGAGCTGCTCATGCCTTTGTGTGTGCGTGGGTGTGAGTATGTGATGCTGTGTTGGGGCATTCAGGTTGCACCAATGGGAGTTTGTGTTCGTATGGAGACTCCAATTAGGATGAGAGAACGAGACGCCCTATGACGAGAGAAACTACGGTTCATCAAACATCACCCACTCGCATATTTGCTCACACAAATACCCTCCCTCACCAACATGCACCGAAGAGAAGGCCTTAGCCTGGTTAAAATCCACAAAGATGAAACCAATATCGTTGTTTTTCCTAGAAAGGGTTTTTAGCATGTAGTGGACAACATTTCCTTAAGCCAGAAATCAGCTAAATTAAAGGCAAAATGTTTGTTGAAACTTGATAAGAGTCCTGCCTTGAACACATCTAAATGCAAATATTTAATTATAGTAATAGCGCCACCTACTGGCAACAGGAAGTGACGTGTTTAACACTGTGATGTCCACTAGGAACATACTAAAATATGCCATTGAGTGCTAAACATGCTAGAAACATGTTAAAACATGTTACCAACAGGAAGTTGTTGTAACTCAAGCATACAATGTCCAATCTGCCCCACACGTCACATGTTGGCCTGGCCTGAAGACATCTACATGACATCTACATGCCAAATACTATGTAAAATACAAAACTTTTTCTTATTAATAAGAAAAAGAGGTTAATAATCTTATTAATAACTATACAATTATTATTATTATTAATAATATACAATATATTGTTTTACATTTTTAAAGGGATAGTTCACTTTGAAATTAATTTTTGATATGTTTTAGCTTACATCAAGGGCATCCAAGATGTAGGTGTCTTTGTTTCCGCAGTAGTTTCAATTTTGATATTTTTAGGTCAAACCGTTCTTGTCTGTCAGTCATATAATACAGGTCTATGGTAACTTCCTCAAAGAGCATGCACAGAGAAGTCCAAATTAAACATCATTTAATGACTCGTAAATGTAAGTACACATTGATGGCCTAAGACACGAAACAAGGCGGTTTGTGTGAGAAAACGAACAGTATTTATATCGTTTTTACCTCTTGTAAACACAGCGACGTCCAAGTGATCTGAGGGCGCGGGCGCTTCGGTCTTTTCCGGCAAGCGCCGGAAAGCGCTGGAAGTGATCTCTCGTACGTGTGCGTCACTCATTGTTTACACAGAACAGAGATTGTAGGTAAGACGGCTAATTAAAATGGTACTAATTTGCGCTTTTACTGGGATGTTTAAACCGTCATAAAAAAAAAACAAAAACAAAAAAAAAAAAATTGTATGAGTGACGTACACGCGCGAGAGATCACTTCCGGCGCTTTCCGGTGCTTGCCGGAAAAGACAGAAGCGCCCGCGCCCTCAGATCACTTGGACGTGGCTGTGTTTACTAGAGGTAAAAACGATATAAATACTGTTCGTTTTCTCACACAAACCGCTCGTTTCGTGTCTTAGGCAATCAATGTGTACTTACATTTACGTGTCATTAAATCATGTTTATTTGGACTTCTCTGTGCATACTCTATGAGGAAGTGACCATAGACCTGCATTATATGACTGACAGACAAGAACGGTTTGACCTAAAAATATCAAAATTGAAACTACTGCAGAAACAAAGACACTTACATCTTGGATCCCCTTGAGGTAAGCTAAAACATACCAAAAATTCATTTCAAAGTGAACTATCCCTTTAAATAGTATTTGGCTTAGTATTTGTTTTGTCCCTTTTTTGCTTTAATCATTATATTATTATTAAAATAATAACAGGTTTTCACTCAAATTGTTGTGCTGACAATATAAAATATAATGAAAATGTAAAATAAACACATTTTTACTTGTACTCAGACTTTAGGGCCCCAATTTGCTGCATAAATCGGTCGTAATTCTAGTCTTCATTTATTTTCAAGGCTCTAATTTCTTCTTGTCATGAGTCTGTGCTTGAGCGTGAGTCGCTGGAAACATCAGAGTCTTGTTTGTGAGCCCATCGGAATGGATGCACCTATACATCAGATCAATAAAACAGCAAATTGTGCTGGCAAACAGACCACGGCAGTCTGCCTCTGATGGGGTGGGATCTATTTATTTTGCCCCCAAGAACAGAACTCTATGTTGGGGGAGGCTTGAGTTTCTGCAAGGGGTTTTCTGCAGTCTCGATGCTTCAGGGAAAGAGAATGTGATCGATAATGCGCTGTGGGAGTATATCTCCAGACCTTTCCCTGCACCTCTTTCCACTTCATTCAATGTGTTTTTGCGCATAGTCTGAATCTTTTCGCAGTCAAGGGAAGCGGAGAGGGATACTACTCGTCTGTGATAGTCAACAATTGCTTAGGAGGCACACTTTGCCAGGCAACGTTTTGATAAATAAGTAAAAAGACAAACATTACGTGTGCATTTCGAGTTTGGAGCTGATACGAAGAGAATATTGTTGCTTGTTGCCAAGTGAGATCGTTTGAAAATGACAATACCCTTTTACGGTTTTATTCATCATGAAATACTAGACTTTTTCTTACAAAATGGAAAAGTTTGGAATTGTATCAGTTGAACAAGTTGTTTCTCTCCAGGTTCACTGTACGTGATAACATGATCAGTATTTTTGTCTGTATACACATTACACACACACAGACACAACCATTCAAAAACCACTAAGCAGTTTTTAACAATGGTAATGCCTAGTAGCCAAGCATATTATAATGATTTCTGAAGGATCATATGACACTGTAGACTGCGGTGACTGCGGTTTTGCCATCACAGGAATAAATTACATTTTAAAAGATATTGAAATAGAAAACCGTTATTTTAAATTTTGATAATGTTTTACAGTTTTACTGTTTTTATTTATTTATTTATTTATTTATTTAATTTTTTATCAAATAAATGCAGCCTTGGTGAGTATGAGAATTCTTTAAAAAACATTAGAAAAAAATAGATATAATATATATCTGAAGACAAAAGTACTGGTTAAGATACTGACAAAAATACTGAATAAGGGCTTTGTCATCTCTGCAAACTCAACCTTGCCCTCGCTTTCAAGCT